GCATGCGGTTCCCCGCCCATTTCGGCGCACCCCTCACACGGTTCGTGGCCCCACAGGGAGCTCCTCCGAAGTCCTCAGTGGCAAAGTTCGCATGCGGTTCCCCGCCCATTTCGGCGCACCCCTCACACGGTCCGTGGCCCCACAGGGAGCTCCGCCGAAGGCCTCAGTGGCAAAGTTCGCATGCGGTTCCCCGCCCATGTCGGCACACCCCTCACACGGTTCGTGGCCCCACGGGGAGCTCCGCCGAAGGCCTCGGTGGCAAAGTTCGCATGCGGTTCCCCGCCCAGTTCGGCGCACTCCTCACACGGTTCGTGGCCCCCTAGGGGGCTCCACCGAAGGCCCCAGCGGCAAGGTTCGCATGCTGTTCCGCCCCCATTTCGGTGCGCCCCTCTCGCGCGGTTCGTGGCCTCATAGGGAGCTCCACCGAAGGCTCCAGCGGCAGGGTTCGCATGCAGTTCCAGCCTCGTCTCGGCGCACCCCTCACACAGTCCGTGGCCCCATATGGAGCTTCACCGAAAGCTTCAGTGGCACTGTTCGCATGCAGTTCCACACCCATGTCGGCCCACACCTCACACGTTTCGTGGCCCCGTCGGCAGCTCCACCGAAGGCCCCAATGGCAAGGGCCGCATGCGGTTTCACCCCCATGTCGGCATATCTCTCACACGTTTCGTGGCCCCACGGGGAGCTCCAGCGAAGACGGTACTCGAAACTGCAGCACTCACAGCTGCATAGTGTTGGGTCTTTCGCCAAGCTAATGTGTTTTGTCCTTCTGGTGGTTCGTGCAAGATACTTGTTGGTTGATGCGTGTGTTTCCTCCGACAACAAAACATTAAACACAAGCGTCCTCCATGTCCTCGCACTGCGTCTTCCGCGGCGCTGAGATGGTGTTTCCCAACCACCCTGTGTTGGGTCCTCGTTTTGAAGAGACAGCGCCCCGCGACTACCTCTCCTATACTTCCTCCTCCCCCTCCTCTCTCCTTCCATCATCGTCATCATCGTAATCCACATCATGGTCATCACCAGCATCAGCAACAGCATCGTCATCATCACCATCATCACCATCATCACCACCATCAGCATCACTATCTCATCTCACCTCACCTCACCTCATCCCACTTCATTTCATCTCATCAGCATGGTCTCATCATCATCAGCATCACCATCAATATCATGATCGTCATCACCATCATCATCATCGTCATCACTATCATCAGACTCGCCACACTCATCGTAATCACACTCGTCATCAACATTACGGCCGGCCCCGCGAATGTCGGCACACCCCTCACACGGTTCGTAGCCCCACAGGGAGCTCCGCCGACAGCCTCGATGGCAAGGTTCGCATGCGGGTCCCCGCCCATTTCGGCACACCCTCACACTGTTCGTGGCCCCACGGGGAGCTCCGCAGAAGGCCTCAATGGCAAAGTTCGCATGCGGTTCCCCGCCCATGCCGGCACACCCCTCACACGGCCCGTGGCCCCACGGGGAGCTCCGCCGAAGGCCTCAGTGGCAAAGTTCGCATGCGGTTCCCCGCCCATGTCGGCACACCCCTCACACGGTTCGTGGCCCCACAGGGAGCTCCGCCGAAGGCCTCAGTGGCAAAGTTCGCATGCGGTTCCCCGCCCATTTCGGCACACCCCTCACACGGTTCGTGGCCCCACGAGGAGCTCCGTCGAAGGCCTCAATGGCAAAGTTCGCATGCGGGTCCCCGCCCATGTCGGCACACCCCTCACACGGTTCGTGGCACCATAGGGAGCTCCGTCGAAGGCCTCAGTGGCCAAGTTCGCATGCGGTTCCCCGCCCATTTCGGCACACCCCTCACACGGTTCGTGTCCCCGCAGGGAGCTCCGCCGAAGGCCTCAATGGCAAAGTTCGCATGCGGGTCCCCGCCCATGCCGGCGCACCCCTCACACGGTTCGTGGCCCCACAGGGAGCTCCGCCGAAGGCCTCAGTGGCAAAGTTCGCATGCGGTTCCCCGCCCATTTCGGCGCACCCCTCACACGGTCCGTGGCCCCACAGGGAGCTCCGCCGAAGGCCTCAATGGCAAAGTTCGCAGGCGATTCCCCGCCCATGTCGGCAAACCCCTCACACGCTTCGTCGTCCCACAAGAAACTCCGCCGACAGCCTCCATGGCAAAGTTCGCATGCGGTCCCCCGCCCATTTCGGCACACCCCTCACACGGTTCGTGGCCCCATAGTGAGCTCCACCGAAGGCCTCAATTGCAAAGATCGCATGCGGTTCCCCGCCCATGTCGGCACACCCCTCGCACGGCTCGTGGCCCTGCAGGGAAGCACGTCGAACAATGGACCCAGAACGCGGTATCCACAACTGCTTATGGCTGGGTCCTTCCGCAAGCTAAGTCTCCCAACCATCCCGTGGTGCTGGGCCCTCGTATTGAAGAGACAGCCCCCCACGTCCATCCTCCTCTCCTCCTCCTCGCCCTCCTCCCCCTCCTCCTCCTCCTCCTCCTCCTCCTCCTCCTCGTCCTCGTCCTCGTCCTCGTCCTCCTCAACCTCCTCCTCCTCCTTATCCTTCTCCTCCCTCCTCTCATCCCTGTCTCTTCGGCACACCCTCACACGCTTCGTGGCCCCATAGGGAGCTCCACCGAAAGTCCCACTGCCACCGCCCGCATGCGTCCGCCACACCCATGTTGGCACACCCCTCACACGTTACTTGGCCGCATAGGGAGCTCCACCGAAGGCCCCGGTGGCTGCGTTCGCATGCGGTTCCACCTTCTGTTTTTTTTGTGCACGCCTCACACGGTCAGTGGCCCCCATAAAGGAGCTCCACTGACAACCCCCGCTGCTGCGTTCGCATGCGGTTCCGCCCCGATGTCGGAACACCCCTCAAACGTTTCGTGGCCCTTTAAAAGGGGCTCCACCGAAGGCCCCAACGACTGTGTTCGCATGCGGTTGCATCACCCATGCCGACACACCGTTCACACGTTTCGTGGACTCACAGGGGGCTCAGCCGAATGCCCCAGTGGCTGCGTTCGCGTGCGGTTCCACCGCCATTTCGGCACACCTCTCACACGCACCCCTCACACGGTTCGTGGCCCCAGGGGGGGCTCCGCCAAAGGCCTCAACGGCTGCGTTCGCATGCCGTTCCACTTCCATGTCGGCACGCCCTTCGCACGTTTCGTGGCCACCATAGGGAGCTCCACCGAAGGAGCAGAAGCTGGCGTTCGCATACGGTTCCACCCACATTTCGGCACACTCCTCACACGTTTCGTGGCCCCCCATAGGGAGCTCCACCGAAGGCTCCAATGATTGTGTTCGCATGTGGTTCCACTCCAATTTCGGCACGCCCCTCACACGCTTCGTGACCCAATGAGGAGCCCCGCCGAAGGCCCCATTGGCTGCGTTCGCATGCGGTTCCATCCGAATTTCGGCACACCCTCGCATGTTTCGTGACCCCATAGGGAGCTCGACCGAAGGCCCCAGCGGCAAGGTTCGCATACGATTCCAACCCAATTTCGGCAAACCCCTCACACGTTTTGTGGCCCCCTAGGGAGCTCCGCCAAAGGACCCAGTGGCTGCGTTCGCATGCGGTTCCACCCCAATCTCGGCACACCCCTCACACGCTTCGTGGCCCCATCGGGAGCTCCACCGAAGGCCCAAATGGCTGCGTTCGCATGCGGTTCCACCCCCATTTCGGCACACCCCTCGAACGTTTCGTGGCCCCCTATAGGGAGTCCCACCGAAGGCCCCAGCGGCTGCGTTCGCATGCAGCTAGGGAGCTCCACCGAAAGAAATAGTCTCAACTCTGGTTTTCACAACTGCATATGGTTGGGATGAGAGTGCGCCGTTCGCGCGAAAACTGTTCGTACGAAAACTGCAGCCGTTCGAACGAAATCCTTTCGGCGCGTGCGCGCGGAAAGGGATGAAGCGCTGCGGGTTCTTCCCTGATCCTCTCCGTGGCCCCCTCTTTTCTGATATCCCCCTCGACCTCCCTTTCCTCCTCCTCCTCCTCGTTTTCTTTCTCATCCCCCTCCTCGTCCTCCTCTTCCTCCTCCTGCTCCTCTTTCTCCTCCTCCTCCTCCTCCTCCTCCTCCTCCTCCCCTTATCCTCCTCCTCCTCCCCCTCCTCCTCCTCCTCCTCCTCCTCCTTATCCTCCTCCTCCTCCTCCTCCTCCTCCTCATCCTCCTCCTCCTCCTCGAGCACGCAGCGTGGAGCAAGGAACCGCGGCTCGGCTGCTTTCGTACCCGCGACTAGCGGGAACCGGGATTACTGCGCGTTCCAGGCAAGAGCTCTGCAAAATCCTGGTTCCCGCCAGCCGCGGGGCGCAGGGGCGCCAGGGACCAAAATTTCCACGCCCCTGCGCCCCGCAGCTGGGGCGAACCAGGATTTTGCAGAGCACCTGCCCAGAAGGTGCGGAAATCCCGGTTCCCGGTGCCTCCCGCGCCCTCGCTCGGGACGCCTTCGCAAAATCGCCCAGAAAGCTCGGAGGTGGGGTGCGCGCAGGGCCGCAAGGGATCCGTGTGCGGAGCTTGTTGGCTCGATTGTTTGCAAAACCTTCCATCAAACGGCTTCTGTGCCCCGCCCCCGCGGGCCGCCCCGGAAGTCTGGACCCTCTCTCCGAGGCCGTTGTTTGTCCTGGGCGTTTTGTCGACGCTCCCCGGGGCCCAGAAGCCGACAATTTCCCGCTCCCTCCTCCACCCACCTCCTCCCGCTCCATGCCCCGGACTTCACACTGCCTCCGCCCTCTCCCGCTGCCACCCTTGCTCTTTTCTCCCGCTCCCACGGAGGAGAAGAAGGAGGCCGAGAAGGAGGAGGAGGAGGAGAACAAGGAAGAGGAGGATGAGGTGACGAAGGGCCAGCAGATGGGGGAGGTGAAGCAAGAGACGCAACATAAATCAAAGAGAATGGTCCAATATTCTGCCGTTGTGGTGTTCCCGGGTCCTGCGCCAATCGAACCAGGTCACCCCAGGGCACGGCTACTTCCTTAAGGCACTGACCCTCGACGAGATCTCCTCGTCCCCTCCTGCTGTTTAGCGGGGCCTCATGCAGCCCTCGTGCATCCACCAAGCGGCCGCGCCCAATGCTTCCATCTCTGGCTTGCTGGCCCGTATTGCGCCGAGCTGCTCCCTGGCCGAGGGGCAGATGGGCGAACATACAAACAAGATCTAAGACATGGCGGACGCAGTATCTCTCGAATAAGCTGGTCAACACTTGTATGTTGACGCGCAGACACGGCCAAATAAGGGGCTGAACGGCATTGAAAATTCACATCGACGGAAGAAATATACGCAAAGTGGCGCAAGCGGGATGGGGACTGAGGAAAGGGAATAACATCTATCGTGGATAGTCTGAAGCGCAAGTCATAGAAACTGCAGGGGAGATGAGGAAGTTGATCACTCCAGGGTAACATGCTCACGATAATCAAAGCCTGGAGGCGAACTATACCACTGCCATCGCATGTGCACCGAAGTCAACAATCTTGAACAACCTAACTGGAGGCTCACGAGTAGCCACGGGTGCGTCTTGTGGGTACACAACATACATCATAGGAGCTGGCCCCAAATAATACATACGGGACTCGCCGGTTTGACAAGCAAAAGCGCACGTCGACAAAAAGCACACACGGGAAGACACTACGACAGGCAAACAATCATGCAAGCGGCTGAGCAATCAAGCAAGGAACCTTACTAGGAACTTGAGCCACCCCCCTCACCCAGCCCAAATGTAACGCACCCTGACCGCGCGGTGTTATTCCGCGTGTCACGATTCCTTCCCAACCCTGCCTAATCCTACCAAGTCACGCTGGAAGAACCTGCCAACCACTCCATGCTGCATCATGCTGTCCTGAGACGCCCTGTTGGACCCTGCTGGGTCCTGCTTGATCCTTGCAATTACTGCTTGCAATTACTGCTGTAACCTGCCAGTGGGCGACAACGGGCGTTGCGGGGCGCCAGAAAAATGTTGGCGCACAACATAAGAGCCCAAAGATAACCCAATCGTCATACAGGAGCACCACAGGAGGCCAATAGGACTCCCAAGAGACTCCTACAACAACCCAACAACTGCCAGTATAATCCTGTAATACAAATGTATGACTCCGTCTTTGAATATCCCCCGCCCGACATGCTTATGTAATCTTGAGTTTCTGTGTCAAGTGTGTCCCTCGGGGGTCGAGTGTCGGGGTGCGTTATGCCACCGGTGAGTGCTCTACACGCAGCTGGAAAACCGCTGCGCCCCATAAGGGATCGCATGACGAATCTCATAACGGACTCCCGCCCGCTTCCTGTAATTGTCATGTGGCTTTCGTGTGATACATCTGGGCCTCTGGTAATACATTTAGGCTTCTTTACGGCGCCTTAGATTTCATTGATCTTCTTTAATGTAGGTTGGTATGCTTTCATGTCCTGAATGGTTATTGCAGATATCCGTGGTCAATCTTAGAATTCCTTGGTTGCACGTGGATCCCCGCTGCGTCAGTTGGGACTGTATTCCCCTGCGCTGCCCACCTCCGTGCGCGACGCAATAAATGATGTGTGTCTTTCCTTCGTCATCCGGCGAGACATCGCACCGAGCCATGCTGACTGCGCGCTCACACAGCGCTGGGGCGGAACAGGCGGGCGAAGCTAGCCCAGGCACTCAAGATCCCGCGGCACCAGAGAAGCGCGGGCAAATCAAAACTAACATCCAAACGCTTGGGTGACGCCCGCTAGTCTTCAAATTTATGCGTGGACCTCCCACGCAATGGATTTTGAAACACAGTGGGAGCGGAGTTTCCTCTTCCGATCGTCTCCAACGAGAGGTACCAGCTAGAGGGATGGAAAAGGAGGACGGAGGACTACGCCCCGCATCCACCATACAACAACTCGTCTTTTGGATTCGGGGTGAACGCGCTGGCGACGGGAGCGTGCTCGCCGTTACGCAGCTCAAACAGATGCGCGTGGCCGGCGTAGTGGCATACATGGCCGCCATCGATTATCCCCACGTATGCCGTGCTTAAATTTCACTTTCCTCTCAAACATGCTGCTCGTGACAGAAAATCGCGCATGAATGCTCAGCTCGGGTCGCATAGTCGGTGCTCACATCCGTGAACACGTTTACACGAAACTTCATGTCTGTAGATCGAAATACTCCGACGGTAGGGCGCCCCTATGATAATCTTCTCGGTTAATCTGGAAGTAACCCTCATCGTCGTCCGCGTGATTGGTGAAGCGCCCATGATGTCTCATTTGCGTAATTTTCCTTTTTTCGTCTTGGCGCAAGCTCGAATTTGACGACAATTATAAAGTTCGGATGACCCGCTCAAATTGACAACATAACCTGCGGGCCCCATGGGGGGGCTCCCGCCCGAGACTTCGTCGCATTTCACTAACGAACGAGGCTGCCGCGCGAGGTTTCCTCCAGATTCGAGGCTCAGGGGCCCGAGATTGGCGACGGTTACAAGGTTCGCATGGCCCGCTGAGATTGATAACGTAATCTGCGGACCCCATATGGAGGGTGGCCCCCGCCTGAGACTTCCCCGCGTTTCACTCACGGACGAGGTTCACGCGCACAAGACTTCCTCCATATTCAAAGCTCAAGGGCCCGAACATTGTCACGGATACAAGGTTCGCGTGGCCCGCTCGTATTGATAACATGATCGCGGGCCGCATAAACACTGAGATTTCGTCGCATTCCACTCACGGGCGAGGCCCCCGAACGAGACTTCCTCCATATTCCAAACTCAGGGGCCCGAAAGTTGTCACGGGTACAAGGTTCGGGTGGCCCGCTCGTATTCATAAAATGACCTGCGGGCCGAATAGGGAGGAGGGTTCCCGCCTGAGACTTCGTCGCATTCCACTAGCGAACGAGGCTCCCGCGCTAGACTTCCTTCATATTCGAGGGTCAGGGGCCCGAAATTGGCGACGGCTACAAGGTTCGCATGGCCCGCTGAGATCGTTCACGTAATCTGCGGACCCCATATGGATGGGGGGCCCCCACCTGAGACTTCCCCGCGTTTCACTCACGGACGAGGCTCACGCGCACAAGACTTCCTCCATATTCAAGGCCCAGGGGCCCGAAAGTTGTCACGGATACAAGGTTCGGGTGGCCCGCTCGTATTAATAACATGATCTGTGGGCCGCCCAGGGGCCCAGCGACGGTTACAAAGTTTGCATCGCACAGCGAACGAGGCTCACGCGCGAGACTTCATCCAGATTCAAGCTCAGGGGCCCGAAAGTGACGACAATTACAAGGTTCGCATGACCCTCCCGGTTTGGTAACATAATCTGCGGGCCGCATCAAAAAGAGGGCTCCCGCCTGAGACTTCCTCGCATTCCACTCACGGACAAGGGCCCCCGCGCGAGACTTCCTCCATATTCAAGGCCCAGGGGCCCGAAAGTTGTCACGGTTACAAGGTTCGGGTGGCCCGCTCGTATTAATATGGTGACCTATGGGGAGGTTGTCCACTTTTTCCCGGCAAACTGGGCTTTCTCCCGGCAAACTGGACTTTTCCCCGGCGCTCCGCCGGGAAAGAGTCCAGTTTGCTTAGTTTCTGTATGGAAGCTTGAAGCATGGATTTCCGAAAACCCCACTATCACCTTAAGGGTCTCCAACTCCCGCTGCGCAGATCCTAGCCGGGAAAGAGTCCAGTGGTTGACTTGTGTCGTGCGGCCTTCGCCGTAGCACTACTCCTCGCAGTGTTTGTAATAGTAAGTAGTAGTAGTAGTAGTAGTAGTAGTAGTAGTAGTAGTAGTAGTAGTAGTAGTAGTAGTAGTAGTAGTAGTAGTAGTAGTAGTAGTATAGTAGTAGTAGTAGTAGTAGTAGTAGTAGTAGTAGTAGTAGTAGTAGTAGTAGTAGTAGTAGTAGTAGTAGTAGTAGTAATAGTAAGTAGTAGTAGTAGTAGTAGTAGTAGTAGTAGTAGTAGTAGTAGTAGTAGTAGTAGTAGTAGTAGTAGTAGTAGTAGTAGTAGCAGTAGTAGTAGTAGGGTTAGTGGATTAGTACTACTAGGAGTGATTGTATTAAGGATAGTGAGATTACGAATAGTAGTTGTAGCAGTGGAAAGATTAGTGGTAGTAAAAGCAGAAGTATTCGTAAGCGATGTCAAAAACCGTCCAGGTAGACGTACTACTGGTTATCCGCCACCGTGCCTCTGGGCACGGAGTGGGCGTTTCCTGAGGTCCTCTGCCTCGTCCCCTGAGCCTGAGTCCTCGCTCCTGAGGAATCATTAAGGGCACCAGAGCCCAAATTGCAAAATCTCCCGGGCCTTGTCGCGGTTCCCTTGGGCCTTGTCGCAGCTGCCTTGGGCCTTGTCGCAGCTGGCCGCGTGACTTTTTCGGGCCCACGAAGGCCCACCCAAGACGTCCTGAGTGTCCAAGAGAGGGCAGTCAGAGGCATCGCAAGTCGTAGGCGCACAGTATCGGAAGCAGTATCGGGAGCAGCAGTCGCACATCCAATCATAGCAGTCTGAGGTGTACATACATGGACAGCATTGGTAGTACCACTAATAACATCAATACTAGTGGCCTCCAAGACGTCCTCAGCACGGCCCACAAAGGCCCTCATCGCGACCCAGGAAACCCCAAGAGTGCCCCAAGCTGGCCCAAGGCGGCCCCAAGAGAGCCTCAAGCGGGCCCAAAAGGGCGTCCGGAAGGACCCAAGACGGCCTCAAAGGCTCCTCGATGGCTCAAGACGGCGCCACGAGACCCTCCAGACGGCCAAGAAGGCCCGAAGGCAGCCACAGAAAACCGCAAGGACTTTTCCCCGGCGTTCCGCCTTCAAAGAGTCCAGTTTGCTTAGTTTTTGTATGGAAGCTTGAAGCATGGATTTCCGAAAATCCCACTATCACCTTAAGGGTCTCCAACTCCCGCTGCGCAGATCCTAGCCGGGAAAGAGTCCAGTGGTTGACTTGTGTCGTGCGGCCTTCGCCGTAGCACTACTCCTCGCAGAACTATGTAATAGTAATAGTAGTAGTAGTAGTAGTAGTAGTAGTAGTAGTAGTAGTAGTAGTAGTAGTAGTAGTATTAGTAGTCGTAAGTAGTAGTAGTAGTAGTAGTAGTAGTAGTAGTAGTAGTATAGTAGTAGTAGTAGTAGTAGTAGTAGTAGTAGTAGTAGTAGTAGTAGTAGTAGTAGTAGTAGTAGTAGTAGTAGTA